AGGAATGGTATTGCGAGTCGGAGCGAGATAGAGACACATCCGGTAAAGTACTTATCTCTCTCTCTCTCTCTCTCTCTCTCTCTCTCTCTCTCTTTTGCATTAATTGGTTAAATTTCCATATACGTAAAGCTGATGCTGTAAAATCGTCGTGATATTCGATGAAAATCTACTCGATCGTTCTTCTCGTTCTCTTCGAAAAACGAAAGAAAGTCCAGTTCATCTCTCGAATCGCCGCGCCGATGAAAAGTGCGATTGATTTTGGATATAATAGTTTATCTGCTTGTGAACAAAGTCAGTCTTCTTCTTTCGTTCAAGGCATTTTTTATGGCAATAATTAAAATTATAAAAGGGATGAAAGTTACGCGACTTTATGCTTTGCCTGCAAACTTACATCACAACTATGCACAGCATCCGAATATATTGTAGCTGTAATAAACGCGATCGAGAACAATTTTGAAAAAAAAAAGACGATAAAGTTCGCGGTAAAGTTTTCAAATTCATCGTTCCGCATAAATAAATATATGAAACTTTCACCGTGTAAAAAGATGAACAATTAAATAATTCACACTAGTCACTTTAAATGTATTGTCAAATAAATTCACATCAGCGGATAATGACAGGATCAGTTTTGTAAACCGATCATAGTCCGCTAGATTGACCGAAAATCAGTAATCGGTTCGCGACTAAAGTTCGATCTTGACTATCGTTTGTCCTAGAGGCGCATCGTGATATGGAACAATGCTACGGTGTCTTGTAATTATGTTAAGTACGCCATAAGCCGTATAGTGTACCGACTATAGTGAACTATCACCGCATCCGATAGTTGGTTGCCCCGAGATTCACCCTCACAGACGTCGAGAGGAAGACATGATGCGGGGGTGGATCGGGAAGGAGATAGGGAAGAGCATATTGCACGAGCCGGCCTATAACGTAACGCTGTTACAGAGTAGCGCAACCGACCGCTCTTGTATGATCAGATGCTAACTAACAGTACTTTGGTAGCGCGCATGCTTAACGCATGGCACTATTGAGAGTATTTGCCGGCATCGCATCTCGTATACCACAATTTAATTGCATTTGGACACAAGTTTTTCAGGCTCTCGCGAGCGCGCGTACCTATATTGACTCTCTAATATATGTATATACACATATAATATAATGTACATACACTGTATATAATATTGTGCAATAATAATTATTTTATAGATCATGATGTAGAATGATTCCGAGATACATCATATTTAAAAAAGAATAATTGAAATTATAGAAATAGCATTTCTCTAAATATAAATTTCAGCATTTTATTTCAAAGCATTTTAATATCTGTATTTGCTATAATTCATCTATTTACATAATATACGCATGGATATTATTTCGATGATTCTTTTTAAATATATTTCCATGAAATTTATATTTCTATGATTTTGAAAAAAATTTAATTTATCTATCTTGGAATTATTGTATTCAAATCCACGAAATAATCATTATTATATAATATATTATTGGTACTGTAAAAAAAACACGAGATTCTAACAAAGAAGATTTCGTATTTATCGAGAATACTTTAGCAAAAGTTATACTAACAATTTATTTGACAATTCCAATTTTTCTCATGGATCAAAATGATTTTCTCGAAATTGTTAATTAAGTATATCAGAAGCATGCTGATACTCTTTGTAAAATTTGTAACTCGTGTGCAGCTATGGTCACATGTAGCAGAGGTAGTCGGAAAGCGTTGTAGCGAGAGTGACGATAGGGAGAGATGAAGAGCGAGAGCGAGAGAGAAGGTCAAACAGGAGGAGAGCACCGTTGATGGTTGACGTATCTGTATGCCGCAGTGACGGCAGACAAGCACGTATATCAAATAATTAGATTTCGGCCTGAAACGTCAATAACCATGTCAAACCATTACCCGTGCGAGACCTCGTCGACCGGTTCAGTGCTGGTTGGTCGGTCGACCGACGACCGGCCGCATGCCTGTCTGACTGCTAGACTGCTGCCTCTCCTGCCTAGATAGCTGGCTGGCTGGCTGGCTGGTTGGCTGGCTGGCTGCTCGCGAATTTAACCGAGTTAGCAAACAACTCATTTAACGAAATTAGGGCCCCGAGCGTCGCTTAAAATCGGAGAAATAAAATTACGCTGCGAAGCGACGGAGAGGGTGACCGGCACTGGCAAACAGGAAGGAAAGGGAGACGTCCGCTTCGCGTTGAGACTCCGTTCTGTTGCTTGCTGTTACTGCTGACGCGCTGGTCACGTTGGGCGAAAGGAATTTTTTTAATGAAAACTCGTTACTAGGCTAAACTCGTGGCTTCGCGCGGCGGCCTCACGGCGAATCGGAAATATATAGCAATATGCGATAATTGCTTTTTATACGCTGCAGCTAGATAACTCGTTGACTGCGATGTGTTACGAAATTTTATTGCTTTTTTTCTTTAAACGAGAATTTAGCGCAGTTTTCCCAAACCTTCTATGTTCTATTTCTGTAAACAGTGTTTTTGTACCTGTATAATAAATACGGAACACAATCTGTGTGTGTATTTGTGTGTCTACATAAAGTATAAAACATATAAATTTATATAGTTAGAAGAAATACTTCTCTGTATATAATATATTGAAAAATTGTCTTTATAACATTAACATAAAGAAAAATGAGAGAATTTCCTAACGAGAATAAAATCTACATCTTTTTATTTCTATAATGACTTACAAGTTTCACCTAATAAAATACAGTGCGGAAAACATCCTATATAGGTAAAATGACAAGGATAATATTGATATACCGAATCTAAGAGAGAGAGAAAGAGAGAGGGGGGAGAGAGAATGTATGTGTGTGTATATATGCGAGTGTAAAGTGCGAAGGAAATGTCGTCGACGACGTCAGGCGTTGCCGCTCGGACGAAACAATGCACGTTGCGCGCCTTCCGTTCGAGATATGATTCGAGAGTGCCGTTTGCTCGACGTTTCATGCTGCTCGCGAGCGAGCGAGCGAAAGCGACACACGCGCGCGCACGCCGCAATCGCCCGTATTGTGTGCATGGGGTACATTGTACGCAAGGAGAGAGACGATATATATATATATATATATATATATATATATATATATATATAATATATTGTATATATGTATATACATATATATATATATAGAGTAACAGGTTCAGCGAGTCGGTCTGGCTATCACGGCTTTACTATCTGACAGCCTCTTCCCTCGTCTTCTCCCTTCATTCTAACGTCATTGTCCCTCGCCTTCAACATCCCCTTCTACATTCGCAGGGACTCGCGGCATACCGCGAATTCAGGAAGTGACGTCACTTTGCTACCTTTTTAACCGGCTATTGTTGTCTCTCGGTTACCGGTGAAAAGTGGAGCAGAATTATCTAAAAGAATCGAATTATGTATTGAAGCGGGACAGAGATGTATTATTTAAATATTCCATTTTCAATGGATCTTTCTTTCGTGGTGTATATATTCGCGTGTACGAAGAAAATTCAATTGCGAATTTAATCGGTGTCGTTCTCTCCGACATATTCAATTTCTACGAATGGTTTTGTCACTCCTGAAAATTGAGTCGACGATGTCATTCGATTGAATCGACTAGTCCCGTGTCATAAAATAGATATTGAAAGATAGAGATTGCGTTTTTTTTTTCAAATTTATTTAATTACATTCGGCTATACGGTATAAAATGAATATACAAACACGAAAGTCGAATGTACAAAAGAAATAATTTCCAAGACGAGCTCGAGTGAATTTTCCTGATTTAAACCTCTATAGAAAAAAATGGCACCTCTCTTTTTTTCCTTTTTTTTTCATACAGCTTTGACGAGCTTGCAAAGCGCGTGAACGTGTTTCACTCGCCGGTTTTTGAACTACGTGAATCGATAAATTCGTAATCTCATCTCGCGATCCTGTTAGCCGGTGCGCTAAAGAGAACTCGCCGTCGTATGGCGAGCAATAAGAGTTTGCGCCGGCCGAAATCGAGTTATTTACCTGATTGCGAGTTTTGTGAAAAATCGTAATGAACTTGGGTCGCGAGTGGATCCCTCAACTTTCGCAATTTAAACGTCAAGCTCGGTCGGATAATTGCGCAGGTCGCGAAAGCACGAGGTCGCGCCACGCGGAATTAATACTCCCGGCGCTCCTAAATCCGTACGGGATCATTGTGCGCGATTTTATCGCGCGCGCGAGATCTCTCTCGCCTTTGAACTGTCAAAGGTGTTGACGTTTTCTGCGAGCGAAAACATCTTTAGATGTAAGATTTTCTTTCTGTTTCCCTCCCGATATCTTCGAAAATTTAATTACCGAATCTCGCTAGACGGTGTGTTTGTCCGGGAGAAATATATATATATTTACATAGGCACTTATTAATTTCCTGACTTCGCAATCTTTATCTTTCTTGTTCCTCGCACAGTATCCCGTATTAATATCCTACCTTGCCATTGTCTTTGGATTTACGGTTAAGCTTCCCGTCCTGCGCCTCTTATTCAATTAAACTTTGCGAAACAAACGGTAATGAATTTAGATATTCCGAGATGCGTTCAACTCTTGTAGAAAAAGATACGTCTTCCATCTTCTCTCGTCGCGCTCGACTCGCGAGAGACTCCTTTTCGAGTTCATCGACACTATATAAGGGAATAAACCCTGGGATTAAGTTGACCGCAGTAGTATAAATCATTCTCTAGACAGACATTGCGATTGCGGTCGATCCTTATGGGCGTATTCCACTTTAAGTAGTAACCACCGATCATATAGTCAGGCTGCTTTCATATATTATCGCGTATGTAGGTATAGATCGGTTGAAACAACACATCAGACATTTAATTATATTAATATACGTTATTAATACATGAAAACAATTTTAATGTGTTTTAATGATATAGAGTAAAATTAATATATATGTTAACAATAAGATATAAATATTAATGTTTTTAATAATATAAAATAAACTAAAAAAGAGGGGCACATTACAGAAAATAACTCTTAATAATTTAATATTTCAGATCACGGAGAGATCGAAGGGGTTGATACCTCCATGCGTCGCAGTCGTTCGAATGTAAAGGTTGAAATCGGGCACGATCGCCAGCAAATGATCCTCCAAGTAAGTCAAACGAGTTATCTAACGGCAATAAAGGCACGTACCATACAGTGCAATGGGCGGTTCTCGTTGTCGCTGATAGTAGCAACTTCCTATCGGCTTTTCAGACGATTGCTAGCATTCGCGCTCGCTGATCGGCTCTATAGATAAGCAAACAGCCGAAGGCGCGATACGTTATATTGTCGATTCTTGCATATCTACGTGCCGTTTCCGTATGTCGCTCGATCGATGTGACCCGGTTTCTTGTTTCTCGCTCTCAGAAAGCGACTGTTCTCTTTCATTGTTCCCTCCATCTCCCTCTCTCTTTTTGCGCGAAGCGAAATATATAGACACAAAAGATGACGTCTTTCCGTGTGGAAAGTAATTCAACGTTCAGCGTGGCGTAAGGAAAACGTGCAAGGGTACTGACGGATTTCGCGGATCGCGGCTTTGACGACGGAGAGACCCTTGCACGTGGAACAATTTCCACTTAACGTCCCATGCCACCATTGCGTAGTCGCAGCCATATACATCTAATACGGCGGAATGGCGCGCTATTACGTTGTGTTTAGTGTTAATCCTGATAAACGTTAGAATTAGGCCGCGTAATGCGCGCGTATAAAGCTCAAACGCTGCGTTAAAACAGCTTATAATAGCGATGCGATATTGGAGCTCGTACAGAAATTTAGTTTGATGGATTAAAATGGAAATGTTTGCGTTATATAAATAAAAATTAAATTAAATTTTTAATCACATGCATCTTTTTTATAATTATAGAGTCTCCCTAATTCTCTTATAAATATAGATTCTCCATAATATTTATATTAAAAAAACAGGAATATCATAAATTTTATTACATTTATATATATGCATATAGAGCTAGAATTTATTTAGAAATAAATTTATAAACTTCTCTTATACATTTTTCTTTTTTATCTTTATTGGTAGAATTTTTGAGCACGTCTACGTATATGAAAAGTTTCCTTTGATCCTCCGTGTGACACATATATGCCGTACTTGCGACATAGGAACATCATATTTTCTTGTTAAATTATGACGAAAATCTTATATGTGTCAAATTGAAATAAATATATTGAAACAAAATGTTTTTTTATTTTTATTATTATAGATTTTTGTATTCTTTATGCATTTATATATAAATGTATACTGTAGCATTATTTTTTTCGTGCGAGTAAAAACGTACGTGTAACACGAATTTTTTTATCCATGAATTTGTACGCGATAATCAACCTCTCATATATCACTGATAGATTTCGAATTTAGTGTTATATTTCCGTCTCTTAAAAATACCGAGTCCATTGTATTCATACACAGGGCACGAAGATCGAAGGCAGGGTAAGGAGTTCCCGGTGAAAACGAGGCAGGAAACGAGGGAAGACGAATAAATTTGCGGCAAACCGTCCCCTCAAAACGCGGCATGCAAATGGCTCCTGGGGCAATTTCAAATTTTACGATTCTAAAAGTCGTAGGTGCGACATTCCCTCCTGCTGCTCTGCTACTTCAACCTCCATGAAAGTTACCCCTGCGGCTTTCCACCCGTTCTCTCTATCGGCGAGAATCGTATTCACCCCACCCGTTAAAATGTTTCGCTAAAAAGTTCTCATTCACGGAAATTGTTCTCTGCGCAATGCGTCCGAAAGAGGATATTCCCGTCACGTTCGCTCAATTATTACATCTAAACGAAAGCGCGCGAATCCCATCGCAGACTTTCTCCGGAACCATTCAGCTCGGAATGCCGCGAAAAGAGCTCATTAAATGCCCTTTGGGGAAGTGTTTCTAGGTGTAACCATAGTCTTCGCGGGATTCAGCTGAATTCTTAGATGATATTTTATTTTAGATCGATTAAAACTGATTTTACATTATAAATATTATATTTAAAATTATTATTTGAATTAAAATAAATTATATATTTAATATAAATTATATAAATTTGTATTCTTAATTGATAAAACTCTTGAAATAATATGTAAGAATTTGCTGTCCATCGATTTTCGTTAATCCAGCGTTATATTTTTGAGCGGAAGAGGACGAGAGACGATTATCCTCAAACGGTCGAGAAATGAATTCCGGCGCTTTTCCTTTCAGCGTTTTAACGAAATTTGAAGTATATCTGCGGCCCAAGGTCGATTTCCATTTCCGGCATCTCGCACAACGTCCCTCCCAATTAAAGAGCCCGCCGAAGTTTCTTGTGCTGCGAGCACCAATTTCCTCGCGCATCTCGCCAAAGACTGGATGCGCAATTCTCGCCAATCTAAGTTCGCGACGACTTTAATTATGCGTAGGCTACATCGGAGCATCCGGAACAACGGGACGAAAAGAAAGGAGAGATAGAGAGATTGTAGAAGGAGGAAAAGCGTGAATACAGCCGCGCTAAATTTAGAACGTTCTCCCGCGACATTAAGAGCAGATAATATCGAGCGACATTCTTTTGATCGGTGAATTTCTTTCGCATTAAATCCCTTGCCAATCGCACGTTCCGTCTTATTATCGAGCCATGGAACAATCACGTATTTCTCTTGCCTCGATACTGATAACTCCTCGTATTTTTTGCTCCTAATCTATTGTGCCGCGTTACAATAGACATCAGTAGAACATTTCCAATCTGAGCTATTATCTCTTTGTTCCTTGTTATCCGCGAAGATACTACTAGAGTGAAACCTCAATTCGTTCTCGAGCTTCTCGAGGAATCGATCTCTCCGAACAATTCATTCATTACATGACATTAAATCACATTTATTAATGACAACACGCGATTATAAATTATAAATAAAGATTTTCTCTCTTCCGCTAAAAGGTTTAACAGTATAAATGTCATTATTTTGCGTTGATAACGCCATCAATAACAATATGCGACGTTGTCGATGAAATTATTTCTACCTTCACATTCAATTTATCTCTCACACAGAGCTTCCATCTAAAACCACTAAACGGATCTTTTCTATAGCCCTTTTTCGCGTTTGACGATAACCACCAATAACACTGCTCTGATAACGTCGCCAACGACAACATATCTTCTCACCGCAATCCCTACTAACGGTTGCAATTTAAAACCGTTAAACGCGCACAAACGAATCTTTCTTTATGATCGTGAAATTTATACGATTGCGCTCGATTTTCGCTTTGCACCTACAGGAGCGCTTTCGTTTCACTCGCTAACTGAAATATTGCGCCGATAACGAGGACATACGCACGATTGTATGGGAGTTAGAGCACGGGAAGAGAGAGAAAGAGAGACTACCGATATTTCGCATATATAGGGTATAATGTAAAAAAAGAGGTTCACGAATATAGAATAACGTACAATTTTTAAACAAGCCGAGATAACATAAATTCGCAGAAAGTATTTTTGAAACTTCGTTAAAAATTTATTTTTAGAAGTCAATATTCAAATATATGAGTAAACTGAGATTGACATAGAACGACTTAATAAAAATCCGTTATTGATAAACGTTGCCAAAAAATATATATAAAATTGCGACGTATCGTAATCGGTTTTCACAAGCCATAAATAAAAAATCACGCGTATTTTTGGCAAAGTAATTCGCCGACTTGTAATTGAATATTTTTCGTGAATATTGCACTCTCTAGATTTTTTCGATTCTTTTTTTGCGATCACCCTATACATTGTTCATCGTGCCGGGATCCATTCCGTCCAAGTGGCGAGCACGTACGTGTAATCTCGCCGCATACACGCGCGATTCCGCGCCAGATATCAGGGAGCACGACCGGAGAGCTTACGAGGGATCAATGGTCGTTCAGTGGCGTTTTATCCGGCCGGGGTTTAAGCGTTAATTTTGCGAATGAACTGGGTGACCGAGCCGCGAGCGCGGCTTTGGCAGGCGTGCGTGCGCGAGCGGCGCCCGACATTTATCGAATTTACAACTTTCCGGTGTGCCGCGTGAATTTATCGATGGGATTTGATGGAATTTTGCGAACGGTGTCGTACGTTTCGTATATAGCGTATAGTGTCACGAGTTGTGCGAGATTTCGAGACTATAAAATATTTTATTTTATATCTCGAGATAATTTTTTAAAGATGCATACGGTGTTATTTATATTTTTCTCGATAAGCTATAAACATGCAGCAGCAATTTTAATTAAAACAAGATATAAATAATGAACAAAAGATACTTAAACAAGGAATTAATCAAGTGAACACTAATGTTTATATATATTTATTTTAAATCAAATATCAGTCTCTCCAGTTTACAGAAATAGTCTATCGAATTTTAAAATCATAGTAAAAAGCGAAAGATAATTTTCCATTAAATTGAGCAAAACTTTGTGTTACTTTGCCATTAAACTTTAAGAAGAATTTAAGAATTATAATGAGATAGACCGGTGATTCGCTCTTCCTTCTCAAAGACAGTTATGAGTGACCAGCGTTAACATTAATAGTGTTCTGTTGTAGATTTGAATATTTCAAAGACTCATGAATATTTACTTAATGGTGTTATCACGAGCATAAATACGGTTTTAGCTCGTGGATTATTCACGTATAAATTATGAGTCGCTACGATAACGCGAATAATTATTTAATTTAGTTCTCGCGGTTAATTTTAGACGTGCAAAAGCGCTTCTTTTTTCATGATCTTTTTAGTTTTAATATGTATTCCTTTATGTATTCTTTTATGTAAATTACGTGAACGTTGATTTCGCTTTATCTTATATTATTTTATTTACCGCGGATTAATTATATCTTTCGTCTTCTGACAGAAAAAGTATCTTTCTTTTTTGCTAAAACATTTTATTTAATTTTTTTTAAGAAATAATTTTTTTTAGAAGATTCTCACGTAAATATTCAAAAATTAACAATAATTGAAAAATGTTTCTCTTCTTATTGCTTCGACAAATATATGCAACAAATCTGTGTTTCTCCAGTTGACCATTGTGCTTAACGGGTGACGCAAGTAATTGCTTATGGCTCGATGGCCCAATTCATGCTTAATGATCCATCGTTTCGATTGGATCGCGAAATTGGATACGAGCGATAATGATACCAT